GATCTTGGAGTATCTGCGTCGGGGGAGAGGCAAGCAGGAAGGGGGCACCGACAGAGAAGAAAGCCGGAAAAAGAAGCGGGAAAAGAACAAGAAGAAAGGAGGCAGCGACGACGAACTGGAAGACGCCCAGAAACTCCTGGTGAAAATACTTCACATCTCGGAGAGCCCAGCGCCGCTGGTGGTGAAAGCCAGCCCCAGCGCGAAAGACGTCCGTCCTTACATCGTGTGTTGCGTGGTGAAAGGCATGGATTTCAGCACTGGCAATGCTCTGAAGAGGTTCCTCTCCATTCAGGTGGGGTTCCCAAATGGACGCCAAGCTGTTAATTTGAGTTTGAGTTTAATAAAATTTGTATGCCGCCCGCTCCCTTGGGACTCTGGGCGGCTCACAGCAAAACAAAAGAAACATTTAAATTTTAAAATGAAAAACACAAACATTAAAATTCCACACCATCCATTCCATCTAAGTGGGGCTGGATATCAATCAACAGCCCCAGGCCTGCCCGGAACAGCCAGGTCTTGATGTTATGGACTCTCCTGTCCCTCCCAGGTGGAAAACTGTTCTGTTCTCAAGTTCTGTTCTGTTCCTGATCAGGCAGCACGATCTCGGCTTGAAATGCCGTAAAGGAAGAGTTCAAAATAAATCTGAATCTGTTTTTCTTTTAATCCCATAAATAGACGAAGCTCCATGAGGACATTTGTGAGAAACGGACAGCGGCCACCATTGCAACTCATGACCTGCAGCTGGTGAAAGGACCCCTGGTCTACGAGGCTCGGGCCCCAGAGGAGTTGAAGGTGGGCTATCCTACAGCAGAGGGGTTTGTGGAGAGGGGGAGGGTCCTTGGTTCCTTGCAGACGTTTCATGACCCAACTAAGGAACGTCATCAGCGTTAGGAGCAAACTCCCCCCCCCCCCCTCTGTTCTAGCCCTGATGACGTTCCCTAGTTGGGTCATGAAACATCTTATAGCTAAACAACCCAACTCAGAGAGCATCAAGGTTATAAGTTGCCTGCCTGTTTTCTGCCTCAGTTTTTCTCCCTCCGAAGTTGCCCATCTTGAAACCGTTCCCCGTTTTTCAGATCGTCCCCCTGGGCCGGAAGGAGATCAAGGCCAACGACCTCCTCCGCCAGTTGCAGGCCGAAGCTGAGGAGCAGCGGAAACAGAAGAAGAGGCAGAACATCTCTGGACTGTACAAGTAGGTCACAAGTTGAAGGGCAGAGGAGGAAAAGTAAGGGGAAGCACGAGTTCAAGAGTTACCACGTCTGTAGACTAAACAGGGGTTGTTGCTAAGGTTTCCTAAAAGAAGCAAAAGATTTGGTGCTCTCAAATTTTACGTTAAAAGCTTAGTTTTAACCTACATTATTTTACCTCTTTATCCTAGAATTGGCAGCAGGGTTTCTTAAGAAAAACTCCCAAGATTGTGCACACAAATAAACTCTCAGATTTTTACACACACACGCAAACAAAAAGAAATCTGTTTTAAAATATTATTTTAGCCATGTATATTAGAGTTGCCAGCAAGGTTTTTTTTTAAATCCAAAAATTCATGTTCAAATAAACCCGGATTCTACACAAAACACCCCAATAAATCATTTTTACACTAAATCATTTTTATCTATTTATCTCAAGAGTTCTCAGTGGATTGTCTAAAAAAAAAATATTCAAGATTTTATGCTCAAATCTTAAGTTTTGCACAAAAGTCCCAAGACAGCAAAATATTCTATTTTAGCTTTCAACTAAATAATTTTTAACCATTTAGAAAAAAGTTAAGTTTTCTGTATGTTTTAAAATAAGAAATTAAAAACCCAGACAGGAATTGAAAAAAAACCCCAAATTTGGATTTAAAAGCCCTGCACTGATGATCCTGTCGTGAAGCCTTTTGTGGCTCGAATTTAATTAAATTCTTCAACATGCAGTTTGATCTGCCTCTCGGCTGCTATTTTTAGAGACGTGGAGGGGAGGTTTTAATTGATTTATTTTTTAAATGGTGCATCAATCTAGGGCAGTTGCCTGGGGCTCATTTGACTGTCATAGCATCCTAATGACATGGACCTCCTTCCTCCTTTCAATTTGGTCACAGGTACCTTCAGTTGCTGGATGGGAAGGAGAATTACCCCTGCCTGGTTGATGCCGAAGGCGCCGTGATTTCTTTCCCTCCTATTACAAACAGCGAGAAAACGAAGGTGAGGGGGGGTTGGCTCTGAGCACTGGGTGAGGAGGGGGCCGGGATCCTGCACTTATTAAGACCAGTTCTTCAATCTGCCAATCACACAGTCGAGCCAGCCTTGTATAGATATATTACAATCAAAGAGGAGACAGATAACACCACAGTGGGGAATAGAATGCGCTGATGATGTTACCTAGTTGGGTGATGAGACGTTTGCAAGAAAACCATCCAGCTGAGAGAGCACCGTGGATCCTGCAGTCCTCCTCCTCTCCTTCTCCACCTCCTCTTCCTCCTGCTTCCCTCCAATCCCTTCTCCCATCTAGCACTGATGGCGTTACATAGTTGGGTCATGAAACGTCAAGGGACCAAGCGCCTGGACACAGGGACGTCACTGCAAAGACTGGTTTGATTAACTTTCTTCAGGGCTGTTGCAACTTTGAACGGTCATTAAATGAATGGTTGTAAATTGAGGAGTTCTTCCTTGTAAATGCAGGGATTAAACGTTGATGTTTCCTTTCGGTCTTTTTAAGCTTGGGAAAACGACCACCGATTTGCTCCTGGAAGTGACCAGCACCAGCAGTCTCCAGCTGTGCAAAGATGTAATGGACACTCTCGTTATGGTACGTCCTCCTTCCAGAAATTGGCCATGCAGTGCTTTGTTCTGCCAACTCCCCATTCTTGATTTTATCACATCTTTTCTGTATTCTTGTCTCGTCTGTTGGGCCTTCAGTAGATTTTTGTTCTTTACTTCGATTAATAGATGTTCTTGACTTTCTTTTAAATAATAATAATTATTATTATTTATATTATTTTTATGAATTACAGAAAATGGCCGAGATGAACAGGCTGACGGCAGTCAACAAAGATGGGGAAGCGGGTTCGGATCACGAAATCCCCCGGCCCGAAGGCAGCGTCCCAACCCCCCCTCTGGTCTTGGAACAGGTGCGGGTGGTGGACGCCGAAGGGAACCTCAGAGTCGTCTACCCGTCCAAGGCGGATCTCCAAACCTCCCTCCTCACCGTCCTTCATTAAGCGCCGCTTCCCCCGGGACTCCCTTCGGGGGACGCTGGATAAAAGTTTTCGGGGAGTCCCGGCGCTCGGCTCGTTCGCCAGCCCCAGCAGCCAGGAAGCCTGGAGCTATTTTAAGCCGCGTGAATTTGGGATCTCGAGAGAGAGACTCGGACGCTCGGCTTGCTTTAATCCCCCTTCTCGGGTGAGAGGGGTGGTGGTGTCAGTTTTGATCCCTTGCCAACGAGCGTCCAAAGTTACGTCCCCCCAACCGATCCCTCCCGGTGGGAAGAGGTTTGCTGTGCTGTGTGACCGAGTTCCTTCCACGGGAAAGAGGCGGGTTGGGGGGGTCTCAAGGCATGTCCTATGGGGAAGGAGCCCCAGTAGAAAATCACTGCAGGGTAGCCTTTCCCTACCAGGCTCTTCCCCTTCCCTGCAATGCGGATTCTCCAAGAGAAGAGGGGTCCCCCTGACTTCCCCGGCTTGGCCCTGGGACATTTGGGGTGGGGGTGTCCCAAATGGCCACCAACCTTTGCCCCCTCAGCAACTGTGGGGGGTGCTGGGTGGCGTTTGAGCTTGGCGCCTTCTTCTTGCAGAGATTTCATGACCCAACTAGATAACGTCATCAGCACCAAGAGGGAGAGGTGGTTTGTGGAGGGGGGGGGAAGAGGAGGAGGAGGAGGAAGGCTGTGGGGTCCTTGGTGCCCTCTTAGCTTGGTGGTTTTCTTGCAGACGTTTCCTGACCCAGCTAGGGAACGACATCGATGCTGGAAGGGAGGGAGGTTCCGCTTTCTAGCAATGACGTTACCTAGTAGGGTCGTGAAACGCCTGCAAGAAAACTACCAAACTCAAGAGAGCAGGAAGGACGGACGGAGACGCCCGACAGGCAGGGCTCCATCCCCCCGTTTCTCTTCCGCCAAAGCTGGCCGAGGGTCACGCCCGCGTTCCGGGTTGTTAGGGGAGCAATCCTGCTATTCAGGGCAGCGCAAAACGGGTTTCCAAATCCGAATTCCCCTCTAAAAACGCGTTTCCGGCTGGCGAATCTTACTGGAAATTAAGGCTGCCTGGATCTCCAGCTTTGGGGCATCGATAGTTCCTCAGAGAAGGAATAAAAACGTTGAAAAATCTCAGTTTTGCCGTGTTTTGTTTGGCAGTGAAGCGGGTCCCGAACCTCAGATGGCAGCCCTAGGGGGCTGGAGTACAGCAGGCAGCACCAGCCCTGCAGAGGAGGCCTCAGCTGGGCTTCCCCCCCTGTTGCTAGAGCAGTGTTTCTCAACCTTGGCCACTTGAAGATGTCTGGACTTCAACTCCCAGAATTCCCCAGCCAGCGAATGCTGGCTGGGGAATTCTGGGAATTGAACTCCAGACATCTTCAAGTGGCCAAGGTTGAGAAACACTGCTCTAGCAACAGGGGGGGAAGCCCAGCTGAGGCCTCCTCTGCAGGGCTGGTGCTGCCTGCTGTACTCCAGCCCCCTAGGGTTGCCATCTGAGGTTCGGGACCCGCTTCA